ATTTGGCTATTCACTTCAGTCTTGTACAGCTGATTTCAGCCGTACACCGACTGAAATCAGCTGTACAACGGCTTGCTGCGAATGGGTTCGGGTAGGTCGAAGTGCAGAAGGAGTTTGACTTAGCTAATCCAACATCTGGATCGGCTTAGCCGAACCTCCGTCAGGCTACTCATTGCTGTTCGGCCTATTCTCATAGGGCCCAAACAGCAGTGTGTGAATAGCCGAATGCCGCCGAGCGCCCTTCGGCTCAGCTATTCTGCTCGGTACCTCTGTGGTACCGAGCAGAATAGAAAAAGTAGAAAAAAAGGAGAACATGATGGGGCGGAGCAGTGACAGCTAGCTCCGCCCAACTGTTTTCTATTGGATGGGACCAGCTTTCATTACAATGAGAGCTTGTCGGAGGCGGTGGTCATATCAAAGCCGGCTCCGACAAGCTCTCATGACAGTCCAGCGTCTCCTGGTTACTAGGTAACCAGGAGACGCTGAACTGTCATTACATACTGAGAACCCGTGATATCACTGTGAGAACCCGTGATAACACTGTGATATCATGGCGGTTCCGCCAGGTTCTCAGTGTGTAATGGCAGTCCAGCGTCCCCTGGTTACTAGATAACCAGGAGATGCTGAACTGTCATTACACACTGAGAACCTGGCGGAGCCGCCGTGATATCACAGCGGCTCTGATATCACACTGGTTCTCAGTGTAATGACACATCAGCGTCCGTGGTTAGCTGCTAACCAGGGGACACTGATCTGTCTCTGCATGCAAGTGGCCAGAGCCAACCGTGAGATGATGGCTGGCACCGCCAAGCTGTCAGTAGCAGGTTGTTGGTCAGCCGTTCCTGCTCCGGCTTTCACCTCGGCTCATATGTCTTCGGCTCGACTGAGCCGCTCGGCCAACTTCGGGAGCTGTACGGGCTCAAGTGAATAGCCCGTACAGCAGCCCTTCGGTTCTACTCAACCGAAGGGGTCCTGGGGCCGAAGCTAGCCGAAGGATCAGCCGAAGCTATGGCTAGATCCTTCGGCAGCTTTGTGAATAACCCCCATAGTACTATGTGTCCCCAGTTATGAATGAACAGGCTGTGATTTACATCACAGCCTGTTCATTCATGAATTTCTGAATGGGGAGTAGCACTCCCTATGGAGGCTTCTCCCCATTCATAAACTGCTTGATAGTAAATATTTTACTATCAGCAGTTTCTGAATGGAATGGGAAGCCTCTGTACTGAGTGCTTCCCATTCATTGAGTGCTGAGGCTGCAGAAAAAGAAATTGAGGATTTGGTGTCCTCAATTTCTTTTTCTATTTCAAAAGGGAAATGTCAGGGATCTGTTTAGACCCCAGAGATTTCACCGTAGCCCCCCAACAGTAAAAAAATAAATACAAAATGATTAAAAAATAAATTAAAAATTAAAAAAAAATTAAATAAAAAAATAAATGAAAAATGTAAAACAAAATAAAATGATTTTTAAAAAAATAAAAAATGGTGTAAAAAAAAACTAATTAATAGGAAAAAATTGCAAAAAATGCAAAAATGGCTTGGCCAGCTGATTTGAAAAATGTTCCGGAGGGCTTGGCAGCGAAAGGGTTAAAGGAACAATTTCCAAGCCACCAAAACCTGTGACTGATCCTGCTAATATCCATCACATCTCTCTTGAATATGGCCTTATGCTACAATTCTAGCTTCATGTACCTTCAAAATCCTCCCACTACTGGTGAAAGAGGACCAGGTGGGCTTTGTCTGCAATAGACAAGACAGAACATAACTCAACAGAACCTAACACCTTCTCTGCTCTATGCATTTGATAGGGTACATTGAGGGTATTTATGGCTTCTTACAAAGATTCGGATTGATGGGTCCAATATACAGTATACAGCAATCATGGCTCTCTATTTTGCATTTAGTGCCAAGGTTTACAATTCTGGTTATTTTTCCCTAACTGTTTCAGATATCTAATGGAACAAGGCAGGGGTGACTCTACTTATTTTTGCTCTTGTGATGAAGCCACTGAGTCCATTAGAAATCATCAAAATATACACGGCGTTAAGATAAGATGTACTGTACATCTCATACAATAGATTTTTATGAAGATGAGGTCATCTTGGCATACTTGCATACAATCTGGTGTATTCTAAATGCTGTGGAGCAGCCAATTGATTACCACACATTTCTGTGATTCCGCCAGCTATACTGCTAACTAGAATCCTTGCGTTTTCAATTAGTGCCATGTCTTTGAATACACTCTCCCAGACAAATGCATTGTTCATATTTCAGGCTACTTAATTTATAGAGTTATGGATGTGGGACAAACTCACACCCTTTGGCCAATCATTTTTGAAGATGTTACTGTACCTGCGGTGAGGAAGGTTCTTGTCTTCCTCACTTGTCTTGAAGTACCCGTAGGTAATATGGATTAGCAGTTTCTGATGGCTGGGTTGAGGGTTAGGATTTCCAACACCAGTGTATTATCGCTATTGCAGAAGTCCAAACACAACATGGCTGCAGCGAATAGGGCTCATAAAACGGTCCCTGGGGTGTTGGTAAGGTCAGAATATACCAGTATATTGTACATCTGAATGAAGCTTGAAGTGCATACTATCAAAAAAGATCATTTAATATCCCTGCATCTATTTTTTTGGACTTTTTTAGAGATGAAACCTAATCCATCTGATCTCTGGAAAATGACAATCGATTGTAAACAGTTTTGCACCTAGCAGCATAGAGTCTCAAAAGATGGCTTGCCCCACAGAGGTGACAGTTGCCATAGGCCTACAGGACTTGTCAGAAACTTGTTGGCAGTTAGGTGTTAATTTAGATACAAAAAGGAGAATATACAGATTTTTGCAAAGAATACTAAAAATACCTACAGGGCAGACTCACCTTTACTTTTCAGGTTGCTGCTACCCACCAAATCGTGTATATCAAAAACCAAAAGAAGTAGGAATAAATAGTACTCTGCTGTCTTCTGTGATATTTAATAGTTTATTGGTAACAAAAAAAAGTTTTTTTGTAATAACGGCCCTAGAAAACTTGCAGTGAGTCTACTATGGGCCAAATGCCACCATCATAAAACACACCAATGGGAGTATATAAAAACAATTTGCAGAGCCATTCAACCTGTGAAACTGTGTGAACGTTTGTTCTGTGCAAATGGAGGCAAGAACAAACATTCTTAGTATATACTCTTTTCAAGTTGAATATAACTTTAGGAAAATATTGCATAATAGACCATTAGATGGAGCTCAGGGGCATAGGAAATAAATACAAATTTCCTATGCTCCTCAGCTCCCCTACGACCTTTAGTGGAGTGGCTACTAGAAATTTTGTGTAGCCAGAGCTGTAGTCAGTCTGACTGCATTATAGTTGGCATTTATCTGGTTAATTCCAGGTGTTATTACTATTATTATGGCGGCATATGATTACCTTGTATAAATGCGCAACTGGTCTACATAGTATACTTAGTAGACATTTGTTCATTTTAAGGTGATCACAAAAGACAATCTGATGAAAAACAGGTGGATGGAAGTGAGTGGTGGTAGCATTTGCCAATTCAGATATGATTCAGCTTGTGTACCTTGACTGGGGTTGTGGGCAAATATAGGTATTTTTTAGGGATATACATAAATATCTTACAAACTACAACTTCATATAGAAATCTTCATTGAGGATTGCAGCTAGCCACATACAACAGTGAGGTTTTCAGATACATGCAAAGAAAACACAAAGGACAGCACCCTCTCCTAATGAAGCATGCTAAGGAACTCTGATGAAGGGGGTACACCCCAGAAACATGTTAGTTGCTTAGAGCTTCCTAAGAAGCAACAGCTGACTGGTCCAGTGGATGTAGTTCTTCGTATAGCTACTGCATTGTGGTGTTATGAGCCTTTTTGGAAGTGGATATTACATCTTATGCTTATGATTGACTGTGGTTTGTGAGTAATTATTTTTAACCATTTTTTATATATTTGTTTTAATAGACATGCTTCAAGGGGAGAGGGCGCTGTCTTTTGTGTTCCTTTGTATTCTCAGGGATGTGGTTAAATAGTGACCCATAGAATACAAGAACAGCATAAACTAAAATTTCTGTGTCCGAATTTATATAAACTAATTGTTATATATTTCATTATAAGCACCATACTACATTTCTATTGATGTATATGTTAAGCTGTGTATGTGCTGATTGTACATGAATCTGTATATTAAATGTTTAAAATGCCACCCTTTCACTGTTCAAGTAAGAAATAGGCTATGTAGTATCCCAAAAAATCAGAATCAGAAAATCCCATCCTCGGTCCCCAGTACTATACCACTACCTCAATTTTAAAGAACTCCAGAGAGTTCTCCTTCCGGGGAGCGCTGTCACAGCTGGCTGGTTCCAAGGATCAGGTGAGTAGAACTATTTTTTTTTTTTACCTAGAGCGAAATGGACACTTAACCATTGCAGTGTGGGGGTATTCCCACTGCAAGAGTTAATAATTTTTTTGCCACAGAGTTCTGGTTTAAGTCAGCAGAAGTAATAGAGTATTAGAACTTCCATACTACTTGTTGATAAGACAGCCCAGCCCCCACCGCACAGATGTGACACTAATACTTATACCTCTATTGCTGTAAAATATAGGAGAGTAAAGGTGCCCATACACCTTACAATTATCTGCAGATTTTCTGTGGTCAGATGGAAAAAGTGCAACAGATTGGCCCAGGTGGAGATTACTCCATCCACACAGTGTAGATGGAGGAATCTGTTGCACCTTTTCCATCTGACCACAGAAAATCTGCAGATAATTGTAAGGTGTATGGCCAGCTTTGGAACTTAGAATGTTGCTACACATATTTCCCTTTGGAGGGTTTGTCCACACTGCTTTATCAAGTGGATGTGCGTGTTAGATGAATAAACAGCTGATTGAGAGTCTAATCATGTCTGATTGGTGTCCTAACTGGATGCAGTCTGCTACCAATTTAATGAACATTTATGTGTTAAAATGTTTACTTAGCAGTCTTACATGGTTATCTTCATAATTATATCCACATTTGCATTTTTCACTTTCCTTATTTCCACTACAGGTGATATTGTCCCAAAGAGAATAGAGCAGCATTCCCAGACTGGCAAGGCGAAGGAACACACACCTGTGAAGAGAGAATTGTGAAGTATAACGCATGATTCTATCTAGTTTGTATTCCCTATCCTGCTAATTTTAAAGAAAAACACTGGTGAAGTTAAAAATTGATAATTGCTATACAAACCATTTTGCATTTCCTTTCAAAATGAGGTGAAGCGCTCACCCTCAAAGGAGCCACTGGAATACACTGGTTCTTCTGTCCCCAAACTAGGATTTACCGCCCAGATAGGATCCACAGCACACCAAAACACCTTGTGAAGTTTTATAAAAGCTTTACTAAACAGAATGAGGGGAATTTATCAAAACTGGAGCAGACAAAATCTGGAGCAGCTGTGCATGGAAACCAATCAGCTTCTCTTTTCAGTTTGTTCAGTTAAGATTTGAAAATGAGAGAGAGGTGCTGATAGATTGCCATGCACAGCTGCTCCAGATTTTGTCTGCCCCAGTTTTGATAAATTCCCTTCATAGTGTTCTATAATTGGCCAATAAAGTGAATGCAAAGCAATAACAGAGATAGATAACATGCAACAAATACACTTCTAGTATTCTGACACTCTGCAGCTATCTGGATAGTTGTCTGTGACTTTAGATACTGAATTTGCTAATGACTCAGTCCCAGAAGTCCCCCAGTACTCTATACTACTGGCCAGAAGCAATAGTCTAGGCTAGGCATCATTGGGGCCCATACTGTGTTACAGAAGTAGTTACTTGTGGTGAATACTTATGGCCAGAGGCCTCTCACCAGTTCCTGGGCTTCTTCTCTAGTTACTGAGTCAGTCAGTGAGAGGCGTGCATCTCCTTCCTCTTCAGCCAACCCCCTTTGGTCCTCGTTGCTGTAGTCTTTTAGATTGTGGGCCCTCCTTACCATCTTGTCTTGTATTGTAGTGTCTTCCTTATATTGTAAAGCGCTGCACAAACTGTTGGCTCTATATAAATCCTGTATTATTATTATAATAATAAGAATACGCTGAAGCGGTCTCTCAACACAACATAGAATACAGTGTTTCCCGCGGATCTCTCAATCACAGGATGTGAAGACTCGTCCAGGCAGCGGTTTCCCCACTGTACTGGATTGCACTGTGTCTCTCTGGAAACGACCATCCAAACAGTACTGGATACAGCAGACCGGGTAAACCTCTCTCCTGGTTTGCTTTAAACTCGGTAGGTCCACACAGGGTCTATAACTCCCAGTGTATTAACGCCAGCAACACACATACAGGTGAAACTCGAATAATTATAATATCATGCAAAAGTAATTGCAGTAAGTGCTGCAAAAGGGGCCCAAACCAAGTACTGAGTACATATGCATGCTTGTACTTTTCAGAGGTCCGATATTGTTCTATGTACAATCCTTGTTTTATTGATTGCATGTAATAATCTACTTTTTTGAGGTTGTGGATTTGGGGTTCTTGGGGTTTTCATGAGCTGTAAGCCATAATCATCACAATTATGACAAATCACGGCTTGAATTATCTTGCTTTGCATGTAATGAGTCTATCTCATATATTAGTTTCACCTTTTAAGTTGCATTAGTGAAATAAATGAACTTTGCACGATATTCTAATTATTCGAGTTTCACCTGTAGTACTGCTCAGTCTGCTGGATCTCCCCGTACAGAGCGTGCTCAGGAACTCCAGCTCAGCCCACTCCTCCTACTCAAAGCACAGCCTTGTGGGAAACTTAGTATTTACAGTTCCTCACAGCACAATCTCTCCCTGGTTTTGCACTGCAAGTCTCTCTGTATCACAGGCTGCACCGTAGCGATTAACTATTTACAAGCAGACATGTATTTGATCCTGTAGCAACTCATGTAGGGGCTACAGAAGTAACGTTTTTTTCTATAATTGGCAAACTTATTCAAAATTCTTCTTTTGCAGTCCTGAGACCAGTATGCAGTTAATGGCCACATTTTACAGAATCTTTATCCTCCCACACACACTCCCACTCTCACACACATATACTTACTCATGTAATTGGCTCACTGCCACCATTAAAGTTTTGCACACAGAGATTGAGGCATATTATAGGCAGCACGTTTCATGAAATATAGCATGCACAGTAATGTATTAAGGGTCAGTGCACTAGTAGCTTTGACACTGGTAAGATACATTTTCAATGTGCTGTCCTCTCCCCTAGCCCTCAGCAGCTTGCCTGAGCAGCTCTGCTGTGGAGGATCTTCAGATAACATATCACCAGTTGTCATTCTCATTAAGCAAAGGGGGGGCAGTGTAATACCTATGCTCAGAAAAGAATCAATCCATCACTGCAGAGACAGAGCTGTCTAGGTAACTGAGTGCCTTCTAATAGGTGTCTCCAATTTTCAAGAGCTGATTTGATGGCCAAGAGGTCCTTTTCACCCACAGGAGAGTTTATTCCAGCCACATTTAAAGAGTGTGAGTAGAAGGCCACTGGTTGAAGGGGAGAACGGCTCCTATTGGGTGTTGTGAGGAGTCAACTTCCAATATATATTGAAGTTGAGGATCAGGTAGATGGAGAATAGGGGCTGTGGTGAAACAATGTTTCAAATTCTCGAAGGCTTGTTGAGCCATGTTATCCCAAAGGAACTTTGCGGTACAACTTGTTAGCTGCGTTAACGTTTTAACCATGGCAGAATTTTTTTTAATGAATTTTCGGTAAAGGTTTGAAAATCCCAAAAACCTTTGTAGCGCTTTTCTAGTATGTGGTTGAGGCCAATTGAGGATACAGCTTATCTTTCCTTGATCCATCTGCATGTCTTCATTTGAAACAATGTATCCCAGGAAGGAAATGGTGGTAGTTTCGAAAATGCATTTCTCAAGATTTGCATACAGATTATGTGCCCTCAGTCTTGATAGGATACAGTCCGTGTACCCATCGCACTCAGAACCGCTGATAAGATAAGAAGTGGGTGCAGCAGGTGTCAACGGGTGGCTTCCGTCAAAGTACAACAAGATACAACATTTCGGGGTCTCACAGGATCTCCTTCATCAGGCAAACAAGTGATTCACTTGTTTGCCTGATGAAGGGGATCCTGTGAGACCCCGAAATGTTGTATCTTGTGTTTTGCATTTGCAACAAGTACGTGAATAAATAGACGTACTGGATTTGCTTTGGAGCGCCAGTGTCTATCTTTTACTCAGTCCTTGATAGGACCCATCGTACATGTTTGCGATGGTCCTCCACATTACTGGAATAGATGAGGCTATCATCAAGGTAAATGACAACACATACTGTATATCTAGCAAGTCACAGAAAATGTCGTTTATGAAATACTGGAATGCCGCGGGGGCATTGCATAGGCCGAATGGCATCACAAAGTATTCATAAAACCCATATCTGGTACGAAAGGCAGTTTTCCACTCATCTCTGGCTTTTTTTACATATTGGGTTGTATGCACCTTTTAGATCCAATTTTGTGAATAGTTAAGCTGTTTTGAAGTCGTTCTAAAAGCTTTTTTTTATGTTTTTTTGTTGAGTTCTCGATAGTCAATGATAGGCCTAAGGCTGTGGTCTTTATTTCGCACAAAAAACATTTCAGCTCCTGCGGGAGATGATGATGGTCGGATAAAACCTTTTTTCAGATTGTCTTGTAAATATTCTTTCAGATGTCCAAGCTCTGGTTGAGATAGTGGATATAAGGGAACAGCTGGTATCTTGTTGTCTGGAAGTAAACCAATAGGACAGTTGTATGGTCTATGCGGGGGTAGTGCTTTGCTTTCTTTTTACAAAAAAACATCTTTAAAGTCCTGATATGGAAAAGTCAGAGATTATTCCAGTAATAATCTCTGGCTTTTCATCCACTGTATCTGTAAAAGAGAAGTAGAGCAGAAGCAGGTATCTGAACAGTAATTTGAGTTTAATTCGAGGGGTAATTTGTCCCGGAGAAACATGGGCTTACGTAGGAGAAGCCAAGGTAGACCAAGAAAGATTAGGAAATGTGGAGAGAGGATAACATCAAAAGTCATGAACTCAACATGGTTATCGTTTAGAGATAACCATGATGGGTTGAGTTTGATGAGTAATGGGTCCTGAATCTAATGTGGCACCATCAATGATTCTGACTGAGACAGAATTTGCTTTTTTAATTGTTGGCATTTTTTTTAGTATTTACAACATTCAAATCGATGAAATTTCCGCAGGCACCGGTATCAACCATGGCCTCCATCCTTCTTTGGTCCCACTGTAAAATTAAATTGATTTTAAAATAATTAGAGGAAAGATTAGTGGGTATTACTTTACATATGAGATGTGACTCACCAAGATTCTTCTTCTTCAACAATTGACAATTAGCAACTACATGTTCAGCAGAAAAGCAATACATGCAAAGCTGTAGGTTTCTTCATCGAAGTCTCTCAGCTTGAGTGAGAGCCCCTTTAACGGTGCCAATTTCCATTGGCGTCTCTGTCACAAGGGTTAACCTTGTGAGGACTGTATGTAATCCCCAAAGATTTCTCTGCCCGTCTTTCTCATAGACGTCTATCTATGGAGACGCTGAGTTGAGTTAATCCATCTAGAGTGGCGGGTAATTCTGTTATTGGCAAGTTCATCTTTAACTGTTTCAGATGGGCCCAGTCTGTATTTATTCCTTAGAGTAATATTATTCCACTCAGATTCAGTGGACCATCTTTTGAACTCAGCTATGTAGTCCTCTACAGGTCTTTTCCCCTGTTTCAATGAATGTAACGCAGTTTCTGCAGTAATTTGTTTGCAAGGATCTTTGTATAATAAACACATTGAGGTACAGAAATCAGTAATCGAATCCAAAATGGGATCCTCCCTTTCTAGGAAGGTGTTTGCCCAGGCTCTGGGTTCACCCCTTAAAAAGGATATAGTAGTACAAACTTTGACTCTTTCTGTTGAAAAGTTTGTTTCTGTTGAACATCAGTATACATGCGTTTATAAACTCTCTGAATTTCTTCCTGTCTCCAGAGAAAGTATCAGGTGGCATAACCTTTGGTTCAGGTTGTTCAATAGGGGAGGACCTGTTAGTGAGGTTCTGTGACAAACAAGACTTAAGATTTTGATTTTCCAGTTGTAACTCAGTGACTGTTTGTGTGAGTGTGTCAGTAATCTGAGCTGAATCCATTTTAGGTCAGTTCAAACTGTAACACGTATGCTCAGAAAAGATGTGCATCTAAGGATCACAGCTGAGGATAAGGTGATTAGCTGCCACAGACTAACTCACTGAATTATAGCAGGATCTGTATCCCATCAATGATCTTGTTACAAGGTGACAAAGTGTGATATTCAGTTCATGAATCAGCATGGAAGAGTGTATAATGGTAATTCCCAACACATATAGTTAACTTGCTCCGCCCTATGCGCATTACATCCAGCGTGACTTCATCAGGGAGCTGAGCGTGACTTCATCAGGGAGCTGGATGGTACGCGCTATGGTGTTTGCTTTCTTTTTTCGGTCAACACGATCCTGGCATTGTATCGGCGTCTACACATTGAACTGACACCAGGCAATTGAATCTGGTGCCTTAAGCCAGGAATGATGGAGGAGCCAGATGACGCCCTTGCTGAGGGGGCGCCGCCCCGGACGGAGACCAGAACGAAGGAAAGGTGAGTATGTTAAAGGCAGCAAGGTAGGGGTGAAAAAATTAGCATTTTTTTTTTTTTGCCACGGCTGTAAGGCACAACCATTCACGTAGTACTGCTTTTAAAAGATTCCATCCATTGACCTTGAATGTAGTATTATTATTATTATACAGGATTTATATAGCGCCAACAGTTTGCGCAGCGCTTTACAATATAAGGAAGACATTACAATCACAATACAATTCAAGACAAGATGGTAAGGAGGGCCCTGCCCCTGAGCTTATCTCACTATCTATAAAACATTGCAGATATGGATCCTCACAATGTGTAAAGTTTACCTAGAGTGGATTATTTTTCTCAATACTTCACTTTAAAGGATTGTACAGTTTTTATATATGGTATTTATTTAGCATGTTCAATACTAAAAGATATTCTAATATTTTTATATTTTTTTCATGTCATGTGAATATACATTATTGCAATAGCTAGAAATAGAAAAATCATAACTGAACAAGAGACGTGTGGTTCAATAACTATGTTTAAAGTGACACTAAACTCAGGAGTTAAATCTTAAAAATTTATTAAAGTAACATTAAACCCTCAGATTTTTTAACATAAAACAATACTGTAATGTGTACCTTACTGTACTCCATGGTAGTTTCTTTTCTCTTTGCTGCTCTTCCTTTTAAATCCTCATGTCTTCTCATGCTTGGGGAGAACTTCCCTTTGCAGCTGACTGCCTCTTCCTGTAGTGCTGGCTCAGGTTGCAAACCTATACACAGACACCATGTAGCCATTCCAGAGACAAGGCAGTCTGCTGCAAAACAGAAGTTCTGCCCAGCATGAGAACAGATGCAGATTTAAAAGGAAGAGCAGCAAAGTGAAGGGAAATGACCATGGATTACAGTAAGGCACACATTACAGTATTGTTTTATGTTAAAAAATCTGAGGGTTTAATGTCACTTTAAGTATCTTAACTATTAACAATACTGTCTATTATTTGTTCATCACTCGGCTGTGGATCCTCAAATCATCTCTGAATTTGTGCTCACACTGTTCTTCCTTCTGGAGGGTGGCTACTTTTGTGCCCATGCTCCCTTTGTGCGTTGTAAAGTAGCCACCACTCAAAGCTCGCTCCCGTTATAGACTATAATTTCAATACAAATTGGCAAACAAAACATGAGATTATAGTCCATCACGGGAGCGAGTTTAGAGCAGTGGCTACTTTACAACACACACAGGAACCATGGGGAACAAAAGTAGCCACCCTCCAGAAAAAAGGACAGTGTCAGCACAAATTCAGAAATGAGCTGAGGATCTAAAGAGTGGTACACAAATAAGCTACATTTTTAATAGTTGGGGTACTTGAAGATTTAACTCCTGAGTTTAGTGTCACTTTAACTGTAAACTACGTATAACTACAGTAATCTGACTAAGTAGAAAGTCCATGTGGTAATACAGACCTGATAAGCGTGAACCTGACTTCTGTGCTGAAGGTGTACTTCTCCCACTTGATGGTGATATTGAAGAACATTGGAAGAATAAAGTTAGCAGCAGTGATGACAATGGAAGGGAGGTATCCAACAAGTAGCTCCAAGATGAAGTTGCCTTTCACTTTGTCCTGAATATGCAAAAATAGTGTATTTGTTTATTATTTTTGTAGAAGGTGTACACTTTAGCAGATTATGTAAATATTTTTTGTGTAAATTCAAATATGCACTTTCCAAAAAGATTAAAAATCTCAAATGCATCTCAAATCTCATTATGACAGCCAAGGAACTAGCCATTCTGTTAGCCATAGTCCAGTCATTCTTTTGGTATCGGCAAGTACATGAGTGCAAGTACTTGTACTTGGTCTTAAAAAAGTGGTATCGGGACATGCCTAATATATATATATATATCTCTCTCTCTCTCTATTAATGAATAGCAACTGAATAGCAACTAATGAATAGCAACTGAGCAGCGCCGACCGTGACACCACGGCCGGCTCTGCCCAGTTGTTATTGTTTAATGACAGATCAGCATCCCTAGGTCATTTGGGGACGCTGATCTATCATTACAACTGGGCAGAGTGAGCCATGAGATCATGGCTGGCTCCGCCCAGCTGTCATTTTCGAGGAGATCGGTCGGTTTCGTCCAACCTTTCTCCACGCTTCGGCTGTGAATACGTCTCAGCTCTGTCGAAGCATATGGGTTCGGCTTGGCTAAGCCGCTTGGCTGTTGTAGGGCTATAGTGAATAGCCCGTACAGCACTCCTTCAGTTCGACTGAACCGAAGGGCTCAGGTGGCCGAAGCGAGCCAAAGGATCAGCCGGAGCTACGACTGGATCCTTCGCCTCCGGTGTGAATAACTCCTATAGTTTTTTTTAGTGGTTATGGATTTACAAGGAACTTAGTGGTAGTTTTTATAGATATTAACTTCTACTTGCATGATGTGTGTGTATTTGTATATGTGTGTGTATATATATATATATATATATATATATATATATATATATATATATATATATATATATATATATATATATATATATATATATATATATATATATACACACACACATATATATACACATGTATACACACACACATACGGGTAATATTCACACATACGGGTAAGCCGTATTAGTCCAGTAAACAAAATGTTACAAAAATGCTCTATTTTTGTCACTCAATAGGAAAGGTATGTATGAGTGAAAGACAAAGACGAGCTGAGTTTGTGCAGGGCTTTGGAAAGTTGTCTGGAGAAAATGACTGTCGTCTCCAGTTACTTCTATTAAAGACGTTATGGAACTCCCCTGGATTGATAATCCTGTATATATCTAGTTTATCACCTGTAATATAGCTATATACAGCACCTAAGCTGAGTACATTTCTTAGATTGGCATTGTTGGAATCATTGCACTATACCCACAAATCTGAAAGGTTAAAGCACAAGAACTGTTAAATTAATGTAACTAAAAGTTTTTAGCCCTTTGTTTCACCAATTTTAGAAAAAAGTGTTTATTTTTCCGATTGATGCCTTTTGTGTGGGAATAGGAGAGCTGTACAAAAGGCACTTCTGCCTGCAACATCACCATGAACCTTCCTGTTCAGTCTCCCACCTGCGGTCACCCCTGCCGCCGCCAAGATTTGAGGAAGGGGGTGCACTGACCACCATTGTAAAGGTTTGGAACAAGGAGAGGTGAGGCGCTGGATCCAAATTATCCAAAAGATCGGTCAGAATCTGATAAAGCCGTGGAGGGGAGACAGTGCCGCATCGTACAAGCGATCCAGCACCTGTACAGACACCGGATCGCTTGTATTTAAACAGCAATCGCCGGCTGTTTAACACGGTACAAGAACATGGCTTCAGGAACAGCCGTGTTCTTGGTATAACCACTTCCAGCGGATGACATACAATTACTTGAACCCGCGGGAAGTGGTTAAAGAAAAAAAACACACACGCGTAATGAAAACACACATCACACACTCATTAAAAAAAACACACCCATAGCCCATTAAGGGTTAGTTCAAAGCATAAGCAGCCAGTCCGATTCTGGCCGGAACTCACTGCTTCTCATTGCCGCCGGCTCACTTTTTTGCCGGGCTGGAGGGGACGTGGCGGGCCATTGAAGTGAATGGCACCGTAGCCACACCCTCCGGCCGCAATGCGATCGCACGCACGGGATCGCAAGTCAGTGCGGTCCGGTGCGATGTAATCAAAATGCTGCAAGCACTATTTTTAAGGCACCGCACTGAGCCACACTGTTCTTTTTTTAAGAGTTAGTTTGCACTGCGAGGCAGTGCGTTCCGGCCAGAATCAGACTGGAACGCACTGCTTCTGGTGTGAACTAACTCTTAAAAAAAACACACAGTCATTAAAAAGCACATAATAAAACACAACTATTAACAATAAAAAGTTATTTAAAAAATGTCCCCCTCTCCTGCCTACCTGTTTTGCAGGAAGGGGGGCTGCATCCCTGGGGTCCAGTGGGGCACTTGGGGACTATCCTGGTGGTCCAGTGGAGGATCAGTGTGATCTGCATCTCTGGCTGATGCAGACCATACTATCGCTCCCTGCCAGTCAGCGGCGGCACCACGAGGAGTGGAGTGTGCGGGCCCCAGCTGCCTCCACCGGCTCAGCTGTACCTGTACAGCCATCGGCCGATACCCATGTAAGGTTCCCGAGCCCCTCAGGCTGCCCGGGACTCTTACATGAGTATCGGCCATATCCCCCTCCCAGATAGCAAGCAATTAGGCTGCAAGTTTGAAAATGACTTGCTAAACTTTTGCAGACTTGCCAAGCGTCACAATTTTGTTGCACAATTACAAGTCTGCATTGCAAGTCTCCAGGCCAGCGAGCTTGCAGAGCTCTTGCTAAGACCTGCAGGACTCTTACTGTAGACTTGCCAAACAAATTTGCTACAAATTCAAAAAGTGTCAACCAGAACTTGTGCTGCAAGTGTTCTGCAAGTCTACAACTTGCCAGGAATATGTGCAGCAAGTTAACAAGAATTACAATTTAACCCTGCCACAAGTTTGTAGCAAGTTATCCTTGCTATCTGGGCCTGATGGCGGCCCTGACTGTACATACCCTACAGTATCTGTCATTGGCTGTCCCACAATATGACAGAGTCACACTCCGCCCAGGGGGGTACAGGCAATGCCAGACACCTGGAATTAACCAGATAACTGCCACTATAAATCCAGCCAGGCTGACTACAGCCCTGGCTATCACTAAATGTCTAGTAACCACATCACAGAAGGTGATGGGGCTACAACTGTCTTTTTTTTTCCATTGACTGCGGATGTCCATACACCTTTTATGGCCAATAACTTGCATATAAGCCCTCTTAAAGGGGACAGTGGTTTTTGGAAGTTCTACACCCATTGACTTGCATTGAGTTTGAACATTTCGGACGTTCGAATGTTCGAATACGAACCGAACTCGGGCCTGTTCGGCCCATCACTGGTGGTCAACAGTGTCAAAAGCAGCAGAAACATCTAATAGCAAGAGTAAGGAGTAGTGGCCGTTGTTTTTAGCAGTTAGTAAGTCATTAGTGAGTTTTAGAAGGACGGTTTCAGTGGAGTGTACGGGCGAAAGCCGAACTGTAAGGGGTCCAGAAGGTTGTTATTAGTGAGGTGGCGGCTCAGACAGTTGTAGATAAGGCGTTCTAGTAGTTTGGAGGTAAATGGGAGTAAGATCTGAGATTATTGAGGTTGGTTGGGTCCAGTGAGGGTTTTTTGGGTATTGGGGTGACCAACGCATGCTTTAGAGGGGAAGGAAAGATGCCAGTAGAGAGGGAAAGATTGAAAATGTGAGTAAGAGAGTGTAGGATAGAGCATGAGGGTGACCGAAGTAGTGGTGAGGGAACAGGGTCCAGGGGTCAAGTGGTGAGGTGGGTGTCAGAGAGAAGCTTTGTAACCTCCTCCTCCTGTGAATAGAAAGTAGAGCTCCCTCCATACATCAACCAAGTTGTGGCGATCCAATAAAGTTTTGAGAGATGTGGATTCAGCCTGTGAAGAGGAGGGATCCCAGGGGAATTTATCTATCTTGGGGTTAAGTACCACATTGGAGTCACCATATAACAGAACCATGCTCTTAGAGCGAGTGTCAGCAAGGGACAATAAGTGAGAAAAGAAGGGAGTCTGTTTCGGATGAGGAGCGTAATAAGTAAGAATAGTAACATCTGAATCATGAAGAGTACCTTGTAAAAGCAGATATCTACTAGCTGGATCTGAGATTTGCTTACTACACTGAGAAGGGGTGTTTCTATGAAATGCAATGAGGACGCCTATCTGTTTAGTAGAAGCTGTCGATAAGAAAACTTGTGGATAATGGACATCAAAATATTTGGGATGAGAAGATGCTGAAAAGTGGGTCTCCTGCAGGCAAGCAATGTTGATATGGCGTGACCTGAGGAAGTGAAAAATTTTGACCCACTTCTAAGGAGCATTCATTCCCTGCACATTCAGGGAAAGCAATAAGATTAGGGTTTCACAAAGGATACTAAAAAAAAAGGAGGAAAACCTTGCCTGATATTTATTTGTTACATTTTCCGTTTATTGATACACTCATAACAGAAATTAACAAAATGTAACAGACAAAATCCAGCAATCCAAAATATCATAGAGAAATCAAAAGACATGGAATGTCTTGGAAATTGAAAACTCTTGTCCAACAGCCTGCTGAAGTTAGTACTGAGTATACAGGTGAAACTCGAAAAATTAGAATATCGTGCAAAAGTTCATTTATTTCACTAATGCAACTTAGCCGTCTACAAGGAGATTTTGGAGCACTTCATGCTTTCTTCCGCAGACGAGCTCTATGGGGATGCTGACTTCATTTTCCAGCAGGACTTGGCACCTGCCCACACTGCCCAAAATGTTCTGAGATTGTGGATCTGGGTTTTCATGAGCTGTAAGCCATAATCATCACAATTATGACAAATCACGGCTTGAACTATCTTGCTTTGCATGTAATGAGTCTATCTCATATATTAGTTTCACCTTTTAAGTTGCATTAGTGAAATAAATGAACTTTTGCACGATATTCTAATTTTTCGAGTTTCACCTGTAAATGTACTGTAAATTATAATACTGAGTTGAGCAGCAGGACTGAATGGTTGTCTGAAAGCCT